AATTATCTTGATAAAGTGAAAAACAAAACTAGAGAATTGAATAAATAAAAGAAAAAAATATAACTTCCAAAATATTGGCATATTTACATTTTCAATCAAAGTATATGGATAGAATAAAAACATGAATACTACCCTTTACATTGGAGGAAAGAAGTTTTATATGGTTCAACTTTTAATTTATATGTAACAAGTGATGTACTTTTTATTACAATGACTTTAAATTTTCAAATATAAAATATCTACATCCATATTAAAAATCATTAAAGAAAATTGAATGACATATCATTATTTATTAAGTTTACCTTAGTCTAGCCCAAGACTACAATAATGGAACACAGAGTGAAGAATAAACTCAGTGCATTTGTGTGCAAAGTGAGCTTAATGACCATGAAACTAATGCAAGTTGTTTTTTTTGGGGAGAGGGGTCTATTATTTAGCTCACTGAAAAGAAAATTTTAATGCCCTTAAATTTTATTTTGCAACTTATTTTCACAAATGAAAGATTAAATGTTTAAATAACATTTTTATCAATTTAAAATGATCTTTTTAACCAAAGCAAATTTGTAAAAAAAAACAAAACAACAAAAAACAAATACTAAATTTGTGTAACATTAAGGACAATTTGTGAAGTTTTTTTTTTTTCAATAGGGTTGACAGATGTGATTTATAAATTGGTTAAAACATGTAATATTTGAATACCCCAGTGAACACATGAATGTTTAGTTGACATGCTAAACATGATGTAAATGAGGGTGGTTAGCACTTATTCTAAACACCTGTCACCAACACTCAGTTTGTTGAATGAAAAGAGAATTTTATATTTATGTGTGTGTGTGTGTGTGTGCGGGGGGGGGTGTTTAAAATTAATTGTTCAAACAGAGAAAATACCAAACGACCACAGAAATTAAGCCCTTCAGAAAATTCTTAACACTTTTAAACCTGAATGAAATAAAAATTGATTATATATTTTTAAACATTTTTCCAAACTACACATTACATTGCCTAATTCTCTACCTTGTAGATGTATCAAAGGCCAACTGCTTTAAAAAGAAATTTGAAGGACTTTGCTATTCAAAGTTATGGAATCCATTACATTTTACAATTTAAAAGGCTAAAATAAAAAGCTGTTTAATGAACATTTTTTGTAAATATTTAATCACTAAAAGTTCAGTTATTTTAAAATAAGCTTCATCAAAAGATATTTTGTAAAAATATCTCAACATTATTTAAATGCACCGAGTGATAATATCACCTTAATTACCTTATGACAAGCCACACCTCAACGCATTTACTTATCGACCAGACTCTACCAAAGTCACCTCGACACAAAACCAAAGAAACTTTTAATGACCCTATTTTAATGCTAAGTGGAAATCATTGAATACTGTCACAGTCTAATTTACATCAAACATCAGAAGGAAATGCTAAAATAGAGGAGCTCAATTTCTGCCAAATAACAGACCACAATTCACATGCACACAACTGGGGGCCCTAATTTTATATCAATTAGATACTTTTTCACAAGTTTCTCTCTTAAAAGATAAAATTACATGAAAACGGAAGAAAAGAAACATAGAACAAATCGTCCTCAAAAATTTTACTCAAAATAATGCAGATTTGCAACTAGATTAGATTTTAGTCACAATAAGAATTTTTAAAGAAGCTTATTTTTAAATATCAAATGTATTTCAAGCAATAAAAAAATTAACAATTGTCAGAAATTAGCATGAAATCACATCTCTTTAAAAGCAGTAAGAAAATGCAGGACAGTAATTTTAAGTCTATTATTGAACTTTTTCTCTCCACCATTATTGATAGTTCTACTAAAAGTAAACTCTCAAAACAAAAGACTGAACTCAGAGACTATCAGGATGGACCAATGCTTAATTTGTCCTTGTTCAAAATTAGAATTTTTCTATTCCTAGATTAATTTCTGATAAGGAGCTAACACAAAGATGGTCAAGGTTTTATATTTCATGCATCAGTTTTTCTACACAACTTCTGAAATGCACTCTACATATCTTGGGAAAATAATATTCATATAAATGGGCATTTCATTTTTAGTTGGAAAAAAGAAAATAAAAAAAAATTTCTGACTTCAGAAAATCTTCAACAAGACACCATATCCCTACAAAATGTTTTGAGTAAATCGTTAACTTTAAATAGTTTTGGCATAGTCTCTTAAATATGGAAGTTAAGGAGGAAAAAAAAAGTGCCTGGTTGTCACTTTTTTTTTGCTTTTGATTAAAGCAAATTTTTTTGATTAATTCTACTCATAGAATTATAATTTTTATTGAAAAATAATCAAGATATGGTAATATCAAAACTAGTCAAAAGAAATAGTGCCATAATAAGGAAGAGAAACAATTGCCTTTATATATTATTAAGTATACTTAGTGATAAGCAAAAGAAATAAAACAGACAAAAATTATAAAAAAATTTCATTTTTTTAGTGAAAAGCAACTGCAAAAAGTCCTTGCTATCAATAAAAATTAAACGGAAAATGTAAAAATCTTATTAACAGTGAAACTTATGAAAAACATTTACTGAAGATGTTTGCATGGATGACCTAAAGTGCATAAAATTAAGGATCAAAATAAGATACCCACATTAAGATGGATTAATAAATTTTATGGATTCATTCAATTATCATTTTGCTAAATATCTTGGTGATTCATTAGAACCATGTATTAAACTGAGTGTGTTGGTTTATTTTACAATAATAAAAGATTTAAGTGAATTTAATAGGATGGGATATTTAGTTTCTTTTCATATAGTTTATTACCTAATAATCATTTTAATATAGCTTATTCCCATCAGGTAAGATGATAAATTTAGCGGTAGAAAATATTTTTTAAAAACATCAAATGAAGATGTCAAAAAGAACATGTTATTTATCTTTGACTTTTTTTTTTTTGTATAAGAGGGAATATTATGACCAAATTGATGGAGTGGGATTGGGGATCTCGTTTGGTTCAGTTCTTGCTAATTGATTCAAAGTTTGGCTAGATAAGTATGAGGACCCATTCCTATACTTATCATAGACATGTAGATGATATCTTTAGTATTTTTGAAGAGACTGCTATTTTTGAATTATTTAAATTCTCAACATCAGAACAAAGTTTTCAGTTGAGTATGAAAAACACAACTCTTTACAATTCTTAGAGATCCTAATCATTAAAAATGACAATTCATTTAAAACAAGTCTATTAATTTCACAAGATTTATTCCTGAAATATATAAAATAAGTTATTAGAATCCTTAATGGATCATATATATAATAAATTTAACATGGTAAAAATAAAGAATTAAATTATGTAAAAAAAAAAAAAAAAAAAAAAAAAAAACAAAATTTTTTTTAATTAATGGTTATCAAATATATTATTAACCAGCAAATACAAAAATATAATACTATGAATGATAACATTAATGGGGGAAAAGAAAAGAAAGAGAGAGAGAGAGAAGTAGGCAGCAAAACTTTAAATCTTCCATACTATTCAAAACTGTTCAATTTAAAAAAAAAAAAAAAAAAATTTAAAACATTTTATGGGGATGGTTTTCATATAAATACACTTAGTACTTTTATATACTCTATTGAGCTTATCAATTGTTTTATATACTCTAAGGTTTTATAAATTCAAGTATGCAGTCATTTCACCACACCAAATACATATTTACTATAATTTTCCATTTTTCTCTTGCTCCTTTTTTGTATTGTAATGGGGAAGTGAATTAAAAAACAAATAAAATTTTATATTCAAAACTGAAAATAAGGAATAAATAAAGCAGAAATGAACTGCAAACTGAAGGGAGGGAAGAGTTACTGGTATGTAATGGGTCACTTGTAGTACATTTGTGATACATTGAGTAAGTGTATAACATCCAACTCAAACTTTTGAATCTCAAATACCTTAATCACTTGAAACAAACACAAAATCTATTTAATCCGATAGCTCATAATATTTTGATTATTATTTTCAAATGAGGACTTTACATTGTACATTATAAAATAGTTAAATAATTCCAGTCTAAATTTATTGAAATGTGTGAAAGTTTTTCTCCTACATCTGAAATAAATTTAAAAAATTTACTTTGCATCCAATAGGCCATTTCATTTTACTTAAATTTCATTACCCACCACCCCTGCTTAGAATTTTCCAAGTCAAATTTAATGTGCTGTGTCCTTGAGACATACAGAATCCTAGATATTCAATAAATACATCATTTTAATAAGGACACATTTCATGAAATTTTACAAACATAGGATTTCTCAATTATACACAATGCTAATGTGATGAATAATGGGAGTTAAATTTCAATAATGACAATAGAGAAAGGAGAAATTCTAGATTAGAAAATGATTTGTTGCGATTATTGTAGTCTCAACGAAACATAGAATGCAAACTAATTAAAAGGTCATGTATTTAATGGCGTACAAAGGTTAAGTTTTCTATTCAGTAATTTTCTTTTATATTTTTTACTTTGACAAGAACTAACTTAAACAATTTGATCACAAAGTCAAAAATGTACCAAAGTCATTGAAATTTACAACTGCTTTTACGTTAGCTGTTTTGATGTATATAATTTGGATGAACTGTGAATTTTCGAAACTTTTTGGTCAATGACTCAGGAATAATCAATTTAAGTGAATATAAGCAAACAATTCTCAAGTGATGAAACTAATTTTTTAACTTAAGCTTTTAACAAAAAATTATAATTAACTCTACTTAAACATTCTATATTGCCATTATGTAAAAGTTTTTGGGGTTTTTTTTTTCCTTAATTTGCTCTGCAGATATAACTTGATAATAAATTTGTAAACAATCATTTTCTAGAATCATGTATGTTTAATATAACAGCTTACTTTGAACTATGGATGACCAGAAAGTACATCAAGAATAAAACAAAATTGAACATTTCTTAAATACAATTCTACAATAAAATTAATCTATTTGCTTTAATCATGTAAGGTTAGGAATAATCATTAAATGAAAACTTACCCATCTCTACCTTTACTGATGATTTTAACTTCAAAGTAATAAATACCACATGAGGCTGGAATTGGATGTGTCGATCGTACACTGGCAGCATCTTTTGGAATCTTTCCAATTCCTGTATTAAAGAAAAATAATATTTTTAATATAATCATTTCTTGATAATTATAAAAACAAAGATTATCTTTTATCAATTAGATTGATGAGTGTTCATTTTTATTCAAAACTGCCTGAATAGAAAAGCTAAATTTTAATAAAGTTAAATGAAAAAGGAAAAAATTAAAATAAACACTGCCATTCCTTTCCATCCTAGAATAAGTAAAAAAAAAAAAAAAAAAAAAAAAAAAAAAAAGGATTTCCAATAATCGTTTTAAAAAGGAAAATTGATATGCTTAAAAGGAAAGATAACATTTTTATAATGTCCAATTAAAGAAGGTCTGTTGACCAAATGAGATACCAAAGAACTAATTTTACCTCATGAAGTAACCAGGTCAGGTTTGGTAGCACCTAGTTTTTCAGAACTTTTGATTCTAGAGTCAACTTTTAACATGCTGACCAAATAATTTCAGGCCAATTCATTTAAGTAAAAGATTTATAACACATTAAACGGATAATTTTCTACTGGTCATATCTACACCCATTTGACTATATGCAAAAATATTCTTTAAAGAGTTCATTCCTTTCAGAATTTCAAATCTAAAAGCTCAGTTATTTTTCAAGGCAATGTACATAAAAGGAAGTTAATGGACTAAATACAATAATGAACATTCATCATACAACACATGGACAAATTATATATATATATATATATATATATATATATATATATATATATATATATATATGAGACAATAGCTGTTCACTAATCCATGAAAAATATTAGAAGCAGTAATGAAGGAGATAATTCATATCACAATCATTTATCTAAAAATATTACAAAGTCTGAGTACAAAAACTGACAATACAAAATGATGCAAATAATTATAAAAATTGACATGCTACATGCAGGTCATGTATGACATTCCTTGAAACAACAGATTTCAATTATTTTTTTTTTTGTAAGCTTTCTTTAATTCTTTAGAAAAATATGCATAACAGCTGCCTTCAGTGGCCATTAAACTCAATCTAAAGTCATATCCTATTGACTAAATTTATATTTCATTAAAACCATTGACCCATTTCTTTCAAGAACTACTCATTTTGGAAGATTTTGGTTCATTTAAAAAAAATCATCTTATAGCAGACTGTTACTTGGTTCTTAAACTCCATCTTTACTTGCATTTCTACTAATTCCTAATCATCAGCAGGTTCTAATGTTAAATAATTATTGAAAATACAAGCTTACAATAAAAGAAAAATGCATTTGTAGTAAAGTATAGAAATTATTTTTGCATCAGATAATGATCACTTCTTTCTTTCTTATATATATATATATATATATATATATATAAAAACAAAAAATAATTATACCATTATTTTATGCAGCAATTAATCTTTTCAGTTTTTTGGGTTATTTTTTTCTTTTCCTTTTTCAATGTTGATTTTCTGCTCAGTTTTTATAACAAATACACAAAGAAACTTACAAAATTTGGATGGTTATTATGGGGGGGGAGTGCAAATGCTGACTCTCGCATAATTATTAAGTTGTAAATTGGATTGGAAATTGCTTTATTCTTCAAATTAGAGAATTTAACAATATTGCACTAACAAAAATATTGGTATGATGTGCCGTTTTTATTGGGCTACATTAACAAACTCATAACTGAACTAGACCATTAGATTTCGTTTCCTCAAAACGTGCTTTATAAAATGTAGATCTTGACATGTTTCACAATAACAAAAAATTGACTACAAAGAAGACATCTAGACAAAGTTTACATATGCTCCCACACAAAAAAAAGAAAAAAAAAAAAGTGTCAAGATTTTTTTTTCTCTATTGACATCAAATACTCCTGCAAATTTTATTGTTTCAAAATGCTATTTTTAGAATTTTAATAAAACTCAAACATGAAATCTGATTTATGCATTCTCTTTTTATTTTCTTAAGAAAAGATAATTCACAAAGATATATTTACAAGTATTTAGGAAAAAAAAGTATTTTCCAGGAAGTTCTTTCAACCTCTAGTCAAATTCACTAAAATAGTTTACAAACAGCTGGGTTTATACTTTTTTCCTCGATAATGAACAACAAAATTGTTAAATACTATTTATTTGTCTGTTTATTTACAAGTATAATGTTTACTACTTTTGTTGTTAATTCGAGAGAAAAAAAAAACAAAAAAACAAATGCATAAATCCAATTTCATGTTTGGGTTTTATTAAAATTCTAATAGCTTGTTAAGACATTAAACATTGCCAAGGGTGTATATAGTAATATATATATATATATACATATATATACACACACACACAGTATATAGTGCTGTTCAAAGAAAAAAAACATCCTTCTGAAACACCATTTTTGTTTTTTTGTCTTTTGCAGGTACATTTGTTAAACATTGCTAAGGTCTAAAAGTTGATTTTGAAGTTAGTTTTTGTCAAGGTAAATTATGCTTAAGGATTACTAAAACAAATACTAATGAACCTTGCAGAATTTTGTACAAATTGACTACTTTTGATATTTTTTAAAAGCAATTTCAGTTATTTAAAAGACAAAGTTAATTTTCAATTAGTTGAGTCAACAGTAATAAGCAGCTAATCTCCTGGGATGAAATGCTATTTTCTTTAGCTGCCAAGGTTATAGATTTCATAACCAATACTAGAAGCATTTTATCAGTGGGGCATCATAACCATTACATATATCAAAGTCACATGGATTTAGAAGGATTTCCTTATTAGATTCTAATTCTTAGATTGGCGCATGGGAAGAAGAATGTAAGCAGATTCTAATTTAACTGTATAAGTGATAAATTGCAGAACTGTATTTTTCTTTTTTTATTCAGCAGAATCCTTTCAAAAATAATGCTAGGAATTATTAAATAAAATGCCAAACAGTTAAAGAGAATAAAAATAAAAAAATAATTATGTTTAAATATAAATTTGGAGATTTTTAAACTTTTATTCTATAAAAAAAACATTTTATTTTCAATTGGAAATACTGTACATGGGTAATTTTTTTCCAGCACCATATGAAACCAGTTCTGCTGATATCAGTAAAAGTGTGTGGTCACAACACCTGGTCTCTGCCTTCTTCTGCATTTAGCAGAATGTGTTTGTCTCTTTTTTTTTTATCACATTATTGATGCAGAAATTACCATTAAGGTGCAGAGCCTGCAGAAGCCATTGCCAAATACTTTCAAAAAAAGCAGGGAGGAGTGGTGATTAAACAAAAGATTTTACTGATATTAGCAGAACTGGTTTTGCACTGAAGAAAAAAAAAACTACAGACATTTATTGCCTGAAGAAAGCCAGAGGGCACAATAGCTGAAATATTGGGATAAAAATCAAATATAAGGACATTAGTAGTAGTAATAATAATAAATCCTTATCCCAGAAATTTAAGAAAAAAAAAAATCAACAATTCAATAAGCAAAAATTGAAAACCTTTTTCAAATGTTATTGCTAATCATGGCAGTTAAACACTGAATTTTGTCTTGTTCCCAATTTGATAACAAAAGATTAATTTCTCAATATTAAGGATTCAAAAGCATTTGAGTAAAACAATGAACTGACTGTAGAAAAGAACCAAATTATCAAAATACATATTATTGCTTCTTTATTCTGAGTTAAAATAATCAGCTAGAAAATATATGAGCAACATTTTTACAAATCTTAAGTTCTTTATTTTAATTACATCTGCTTATTTTCTCCCTCTACAAATCAATAGTTCAGTAGCCAATTTATTCATCAAGCATATTTATCATTTAAAGTGTATCAAATTGATCATATTTGAAATGGATAGAAATTAAAATAATGAAATTGAAGATTATAAAACAAAGTTTAGCACATGTACAATGAAAATGCCTACTAAAGGAACAAAAACATTAGATATTGGTTTTATTAGGTTACTAAGTACAATTAGAGAAAAAAAGAGTTTATTCAGTAGAAATGCCCAAATTCATCACAAGGAATGAAAACAAAATTTAAATTTGAATGAGACTTAAAATATATGAATATTCTACATCTGTTTAATGACTATAGAATTTTGAATTTTTTTATATATTTGGAATTTAATTTTTTTTTTTCAAATAATTTTAACCTCATTTCATTGAGATTCAAGTTTAAAATTAAAGAAACTGACTGTTAAAAATGAAAATAGTATACCAAAGATAGACTGTGAAACATTTTTATTAACTAAACTGTGAAGCCATTTTCTTTTAAGAATTCTCATGTTACTCTTCAACTGGATTTTCTAAGGTTATTTTGAAAAATAATGAAAAGGAATATTCATATTTTTTTATATTTAGACTAAATACATATACATGTTTACCTATGGTGACAAAATAAATAAAATAAAAAACAATATTTTCACAGTTAAAAAAAAAATTATATAAATAAATTGATGATGTGTGTGTGTGTGTGTGTGTGTGTGTGTGTGTGTGTGTAAAACAAAATTATATGCATTATAATTTTCTATATCTATAGGGGAAGTGCTATGCATCAAAGAGCATAGAGATTGTGGACAGAGAAATCAACACTCATGGTGAATGTCAGTTTCACAATTCAATGCAATCTTCAGACTAAAAAAATAACATTGTCATGTAAAACTGGCATTTATTATGAAGTGTTGATTCTTATGTTCATACTAATTATATATAGAGTTTTATTAAATTTAACCAACAAAGTCGGTCTTGTATTTTTCCAATTTGCAAATAATTTTTAGCATATCTGAATCAAAATTGGGGGTAAAACTGTCCAGGCATCTTTTTCACTTTTGGTTGTCAAAGACATTATCAGGAACTAAATATTGTCAGCATAAAAAAAAAGCTTTGTTAGCTACATCCTGGTCATTTTTTTTTTTTGAACACTACATTTCAAATTTAAATATACAGTGAATTGCATAAGTTATATCATGTGTTTCTGGTTTCATAGAACTTGACAACACCAGAAAATGAATATATTAAATATTTCATACAATTAAAATGCTATCTTCTGTGGTGAAAGATATTTTATTTAATG